GGTTCACCGATGTCTCAAAGATCAAGACAAGCGACCAACAAGGCGCAAGCACTGCGCGCACCTCTATCGGACTACAAGGCGTCACATGCAGGATGAACCACTCTGGTACAGGCCGACACTTCAGTGTTATCCAACTGTGACCACATATGGGAAGACCCGACGCTGGACACCCCTGAACCGTGAGGCCAACACAGCGACACCGGACACTCGTTAACTGCTGCAATGTTGGCATTCCTGGGCAAATAATCGCGACGGCGACCCGGGCAGCATGGCTACATGCGCAGTTCCAGCTGCCTTATCTTCCTGTTTCATGGAACCGAGGATTGTCATCAGTTCACCCTTGTAATGTTGCGGAGATAAAGGCAGAACAGCGCAGGTCCTGAAATCCTATGTCTGTACGGCAACCGCCACGACTTATAGGCGTACGGGGGTAGGAGGCAAGGCGCCACATAAAATCAGTGATGTGATAGTTTCGCGTTCCGGTCGCTCCACCCTGGGTGAAAATACACTCCGTTTATACAGTGCGTACAATCAAGTGCGCGCCGCGGCTGCAATTTGCCGTGAGTCATACCACCGCAGAACGGATGCAGTCGCGGGGAGGAGTTGCAACTCCTCCCGCGACTGCATCCGTTCTGCGGTGGTATGACTCACGGCAAATTGCAGCCGCGGCGCGCACTTGATTGTACGCACTGTATTAATCCCATTAGAAATGGCGAATATTTACAGCGGGCAATGTTCCTCTCAGACTTCTCTGTGGTTGCTGTGGCACAGCCGCCAGTTTACATGACACTCATAAAATCTAGTTCACTTCATCCATGTTTCGGACATGGTGCCCTTCGCAATTTCTGCCCTCCGCTTAATAACAGATTAAATGAGATGGGCAGGTCACGTAGGAAGCACACGAGTACTACTCGAGGCTTGTCGTATCTCAATCAATGGACTGAAATTAGCTCTCTCTAAGGGACCCAACAGATGTGTTTCCCCCTCACCTGAGGATGGAAACACATTCAGTTTCCCAAACGCTGGGTTCTCTAGTTTTTTTTAATACCGGACGGTGGACAAGGGCTGAAAATACTGCGTTATACGCCATCGCAAGAATTGTTTGGAAAGTGCTTGTATAATTTATTGTATAAAAATATATAAAGATGTAATACTGAAATATGCTGAAGCTTTGTTACAAATATCAACTTAAATGGCTAACACAAATGCATTAAAAAACTCCGTGGTTTTAGTTCGCAAGTGAACTATACCGACCGAGCGACCGCCGCTTGTCGAAGTTAGTGCCAGCTTCAGCGGATAGGGGGTGTCACGTGGTCAGCGCAACGAATCCCCACGGCCGTTAATATCGGTTTTCTAGACCGAACACAAATGCATGTTTAATTTTATTTTCTTCAAGGTCTGGCAGCACAGAATCGCTGCTTGAGCATTAGGAAACCAATTGCGGCTTTCATCAATGTCTGGAAATTTCGTGTTATTAATCGCGACAGTGTTCTAAAAAAGTTGAGACGTTTTTAATTGCGTGGGTGGGGCTGGAATTTCAGGCCGCCTCTGAAGCGCCGTTCACGCTTGCGCCGGCGCTGCTCACCGCATTAGGGCGTACAAATTCGTTTAAAACATTCTCCGTGATTTTAACGTTTAGCACCACTTCCTCGGTCTGTGACGAACCAAGTGCCTGGTCAGAGATCACCCCCTTCCTCCATGGGTCTGATACTGCGCTGCCTAGTCAGGGTTAGCGCACACCTCGGGGGGGGGGGTGATGAATCACTACGCAATAATGGTGGAACAATGACTGGAGGAGGAAACCGCCACATCTTCAAGCCGAATCAGTCACCCAGGACTGAATATCAGGGTCCTAGGTGAGACGCCAGCCTGAACAGGGAAAAACATATTCCCATGTTGCCAACACACGAAAATTTAATGTGCCGTTGTCGTGAGGGATACAGCGAATGCTCTTCCTACTTGTTTACATGAGCAGTAAAAAAGAAGTGGGGCTATAAATAGACAACTTGAGGCGCTGCGTTGTGCCAACACTGGGGTGCGCTGCCATGGACCGTGACACAAGGTGGGCAAGTTACCGCCCATGGTTATGTTCAGAGCACACATCAACTGGTGTGGGGAACCTGCCGTACTTGTCCCTATGCTCAGTTAAGCGCCACGCCATGAAGACGTATGGTGGAGTGAGAGTATAGCTCCACCATTCGTAACCCTGGCACTAGATGAGATGTGAGTGATCAGCTTCACGCCCCTGCGGTTTTACCTCTGGGGATACAGCACCCCAGTGCCCATTTAGACTGGGCCTCGGAGCCGGTCTGGGCGTTGTGGAGAAATCTTAACCCTGGTGGGAATCGAACCATGGCACCGTGGCCGTCCAGCCCGTCGCTATACCGACACAGCTACATTACGTAGGAATCTGAAGATCTCTCATCTCGTTGAATGTGATGTATTAAGGGGAATCACTAAGCCACAGGTCTGGCGGCTACGTGGCGGCTTCTCACCGTGGTTTCTTCCAGTTACTTCGGCTTTCCCTTACTAATCATCTTTTCGCCATTGTTGTACACCCATCCACCACCAGCCCGAGGTGGCAGACATATGTTGCTAACTTCGGTAATATATTGCGTCTCCATTACACAGCCCGATCCATAATTTGTACACACTGAACTCAGCAGACAGCTGATATTCATACACATCACCGAAACAAACACCCACACCTGACAACCAGAAGCGGCGTAAATAAACCAGCAATTCTTTGTCCTTATCAAGATTTTAAAATTAAAAATAACAACGCTTTCACTTACGACATACTCTTGAATATATAAATCTCGGATATGAGCTGCTGGTTACAGAAATGTAAATTTTATAGGTAATTTTTTTACATTTTTAGGTTTAAGGTCATTTTTCCATTTTGGGGGTAATTTTTTGGGTAAATTTTTGGACTTTGAAGGGTATTTCTAGTCATTTTTGGCCATTTTAAGGAATTTTTCTTCATATGTTTTCTGATATGTGAATAACATGGAAGCGAAGTGTTCTTTCTTTTCTCCTTTAGATCATTTTTCTGGATTTTTCGGTCATTTTTTAATATTTTCAGATCATCAAAATCCGGGCCCTGCATATTACACTTTTGGGTCATATTTGTGGTCATTTTTCTGGATTTTTTCGGTCATTTTATAGGTCAATTTTTAAATATTTTCAGGTCATCAAAATCCGGGCCCTGGCAATACGATATACGAAAGGACGATAACTGACGCTCCATGTAAGACTGTGGTTGCGCGTATGGGCAAAAGGCAACAATACCATGTGGTACGTATTATTACCAATGTGCTGTAAATGGATTAGGGCACGAGCAGGACTACTTTGTGCTTTGCTTAGTAACTTTCGCGCGGCAACTACCAGCTGCAAACTTCCATTTTCGTTGCATTTACGGAACCCGCTCATGCCAGGTATCAAGGATACATTGATATGTAAATCACTGTTTGTTTGTGCGCATCGCGTCGATCTGAAACGTGGGACCTTCTCTGTTTCAAGATGGATATTTTCTTGCGGAAAACATTCTAAATGTGTGTTAATGTCACGCATCTGAGGAGGGCTGAAAGAGACGTCCTGTAATTACAGGGGCCTTGCATTCTGAAACCTATAACCGCAATAACAAACTTCAAAGAAATGAGCCCTTCTTAACAAGTCGCCATTCACGCACCTACTAAAGAACGTGCCAGCGTTTTACAAAACCAAAATATTCATTACCTTGTTCAAAAGAGCCCTCCACTGGTCCCTATCCCGAGCCAGTTCAATCTAGTCCACACCACCCCCATCCTATCTGATTCATTACCGTCTTCAGAAGAGCCTTCCACTGGTCCCTATCCGAGCCAGTTCGATCCAGTCCACACCACCCCATCCTATCTGATTCACTACCGTGTTCAGAAGAGCCTTCCACTGGTCCCCATCCCGAGCAAGTTCAATCCAGTCCACACCACCTCAACGTATCTAATATCCATTTTAATATTATCCACCCACCTAAGTCTTGGTCTTCCTAGTTGTCTCATTCCTTCTGGATTTCCCACCAATATCCTACATGCAATCATTTTCGCCCCCATTCCTGCTGCATGCCCTGTCCATCTTATCCTCCTTGGCTTGATCATTCTAATTATACTTGGTGAAGAGTACACGTTATGAAGCTCCTCATTATGCAGTTTTTTCTACGTCCCGACACTTCAGCTCTCTTCGGTCCAAATAGTCTCCTCGGTACCGTTCTCAAACACACTCAGCCTATGTTCCTCAATATCAGAGACCAAGTTTCACACCCATACAGAACCACAAGCAAAACTATAGTTTTGTATATCCTAAATGTATGTTTTTAGACGCAAAAGTTACGATAAATACGTAGCCAGGCACGCTCAAAATAGGTGCAGGAAAGCAAGCAGAGTGGGTGAAGGACGCTGTGTGGTCCAACTGATATTCAGTTTCGCAAGAACATTCTGCCTGTCTTCAGTATCCAAAAGCAAGCCAAAGAGGCGCGAAGCAAGCTATGCTACGTGTAGCGTTACGTCTTAATGCTTGCCTGGTTCGCTTACTCTTCGTTCCTGAAGATAGAGACGGTGCTACGTGTAGCGTTACGTCTTAATGCTTGCCTGGTTCGCTTACTCTTCGTTCCTGAAGATAGAGACGGTTTTGTTCCTCTGAAACATCGATAAATTATTCGATTACAATGCGTCACAATACTTGTCATAGTCACCGCTGTGATAACCTTAAATCCAACGCACGTAGTCTTCGTCAGTACTGCCTAATTTCAACCATAATATGCAGTTTTATTTTTTACAAATTTTAATACAGCTGTCAATTATAAAATTTTATAAAAATCAGTCCCGCTCCTCCCGCGTTGTCACCAGACAAAAATGACGAAGTTACTTGGTGCGCATGTTCTGCAGCTTTTCGTCGTGAACGTGCCCACCCCCGCCCACCCCCAAGGTACCCAATTCAATCATGCAACCTGTATGAGGTGAACTTACTGGGACTTGGTCCGAAGCGGAGGTCTGGTTCTGGTCCGCCAACGTCAGATACACCCAGTTCAGCAGCTGTGTTGGTGCATATACCGAGGAGCTGGTGTCGATGGTGGCCAGCGACGCCATGCTGGGGGCAGTGGCGGTGGCACCGGTATGCCCGGGGGCCATTAACAGAATCTCTTTGATTACAACTTATCTCAAACTCTTGCCCGAATTGGGTCACTCGCGGTTTCGTCACTTCGCGTTTAATTGTTGTGGCAGGCCTGCATAAAGCTTCAGAGAAACACTTCACTGCATTCTTAATTTAAATTCGTACTTTAATTTTTAACACTTTACGCACTTCGATAACAATATGGTATCATTCCTGTTAACACAAAACAACCTCACTTTTTTTCGGAACTATTTCAAGAAGCGTGTTGTATACGGCACAGCGTTAAACCCAGCAAATTTCCGTACATTATTTAGCCCATCTCATACAAAATGCAGACACTTCTCAACAATGCATTTTTTCAGATTTTGCCCACACAACAATTTCTCTCTCACGAAACACATGCACAGCACACCCCGTCATGTAGCTCTCCACCTCACCAAACTCTAACCTCACCGCTACAGTCTCGCTCGCTACTAAGCCTACTAAGTCTCGTCGGGGAACTAAGATGCAGATGCTAGGCAACACACCCTTCCCTCCGCAGCACAACTCTCCACTGTTCCGTGTGACACGTCACGATCAGCGGCGGCTCCATCATGTTCAATGGGCGCCAACACGTGATATGTCTATTCGTCAGCAGCGGCTCATAGAAATTTCAGTGACGATTTATTATCAGATATGACATGACGTTCATAGTCAGTGGAACCACGTTCGGGTGTCACGCGCGTGACATCTGCTTATGTCAGCGGCGGCACAGCGGGGTTTCAGTGGCGTACGCTGCAGAAATTTTGTGGGTCGGGTTTTGAAGGTGCGAGGACCGGGCTGGACTCACATGACTCAGGACACTGTCCAGTGGAGGGCTCTTCTGTACACGGTAATAAACCTTCGCGTTCCGTAAATGACGGAGAATTTCCTCAGTATCTGAACAACCTTGCGCGTTTGAACACCGACACTTCGGCGTGGAATCGTCTAGTTAATATTTCGAAAATTATGCATCATTTGTCATGATGATGTTCAATCACAACATTCATCCACATGATGTCTGTGTTTAGCTGTTTGGCGATAACAGAGCATTACAGATGAAGCGGAGGTATGGCTCCACGCGTTGTTAATCTTGGCACTAGATGATGGTCAGGGGCTAGCCTCACACCCCGGCAGATTTATCCCTGGATAAACAGCACATGGATGCATCTACCTTAATAACAGCAATAAAAAAAGTTAAAGCTATCTTTGTAACAGGCCATGGAGGCCCACAGTGTTGTGAGACGTCGAGGCTCCCACATTTTCTAGACAATCGGCTCACAGCGGTGATATTGTCAGATCTACGCGCCGGCCGCACTTTACCCCCCCCGGAAAATTCATGGTACTTGTTCCTGTTAGAGTCTGTGTCGACCCCAGGGCGCGGCTGAAGTGATTAGATCAATTGAAAAATCCAGTGACCTCATTGGGAACGAACCCGCGACCTTCCGGCTTGTAGCATAGTGCCTCAACTACGTACGCTACCTCGCGCTCCCAGAGGTTGTGCGTGAACTAAGCTACGTGCATCTTGTTCCGTCATAACGTGCAATACGTATATGAAGGGCATGTACTAGTAATCCTTCAGATGCGAATAGTTAGTTGTGAATACACAAATTTCCCCCCCCCCTTGGCACTACAGCCCCAATGGGCCTAGGCCTACCTCCATGAACTTCTCCGTTCACTTTCGGTTTTCTAGATCTTAACACATACGGTAGGACTCATTGGGTGGGTGATCAGCTCGTCGTAAGGCCTCTACCTGTACACAAACACAGAAAAAGGCACACATCCATGCCCTGAGTGGGATTCGAACCCACGATCCCGGTTTCCGAGCGAGCGAAGACAGTGCACGCCTTAGACCGCTCGGCTACCGTGACCAGCGAATACACAAATTATCTTACGTGTTTCGGTATGCCTTGGCCATCGTCAGAAGTTGCATCAACACTAATTGGAAACACTGTACGTAGCACATTCAACACGACAAAGTCAAAGTCACATTGCGGCTGACCATCAGCCAGTCGTCTGTCTTGGTGTCGAGCTCCGTGTGGGGCTCACGACCAGATGTTTCTTCTTGTTTGAAATGTTCTAACCTGTCCATGTGGAGCACCCTCTCTGACGAGAGGTCGGGTCTGTCATTTGTCAGTTATAGTCGGCAGCATTACGTCCATTGTCAGTATGTACAATTATTTACAATTTACATGTTACATTATATAGGCAAGGCCTCTGTCAGTCCAGGCTCAGCACAGAAGATTATGACCTATTTCTGGTAGCTTCCGCTACAACGGCTGTATAGTCACTAGAGAACGGTCGTATGCTTGACCGCCGCCAAGTTTAAGCCATTTGTACTTTCTGTGTCGGGCTTCGCCTTGTCCAATATTGCGAACATTTTCGTTATCATAATTTTGTATGACTTGTTACTCCACACGACAAACTGTGTCACCACATAAATACATGACGTCATGCGGATACAAACACACCGCTACTCACAGCTGGAATGCACTTAATTAGCGCTTTGAAGACTGGAGTCAAAGTTATGTTACGACCGATGGTCATTGGGCCAGTCTACCTTGGTGTCAAGCCCCGTCTGGGGCCCAAGACCAAATTTTTACTACTGTCAGATAGTTGGGGATTTGTTGATGTGAGGCGCTCTCTCTGACGGTAAGAAAGGCATGTCGTTTACCCTTGCTGCTGGTCCTCGCCAATGCAGTCATTCTCGGGCCCAAGTTCCGCGGGACTCATGACCATATTTTACTGTCTCAGATTCGAGACTCTCCCAACCTGATGGGCCAGGTCCCCGTATTTATATCCCCCAGGGACAGGGTGGCCATATTATATACCTCCAGGCACTGGGTTCCCTTTTCGTCGTCTCCTACGACTCGCAGGGAGGTATTTGGAGGAGGTATTTGAACCCGCCTCCAAGCGAGGACTAAAGACTGAATTTAGTCCGTACCTCACAGGAAACACATTACGTCTCCGCTCCAGAGCCCAACCGGTTAACGCTGTTTGGGGAAACAGACTCTGTTTACTGTGAGAATCATACGGAACACATAACTACGTTCTGTGTGCACAATGCAGAGTTTTGGCATGTTAAAGGAGGTGGTGGGGGCACGCGGTAGCGTAGCTGGTTGAGGCACTATGCTACAAGCTGGAAGGTCGCGGGTTCAAGTCCCGATGAGGTCATTGAATTTTATTTTCAATTGACCTAATCCTTTCAGCCGCACTATGGCCCGGGGGCCGACTCAGTCTCTAACAGAAATGAGTACCAGGAATATTCTTGGGGGTAAAGGGCGGCCGGCGCGTAGGGCTGACAACCTTGCCGTTATCTATGAGCCGATTGTCTACATAATGTGGGAACCTCAACATCTCACAGCCCTATGGGCCTTCACGGCCTGTTACAGGGATACCTTTACTTTTTTTTTTTTTTTTTGCTTTAAAGGAGGTAGTACTTATAGTGACCACCTGACTTTCTAAGGTTGAAGCACTAGCAATAAATCTCACTGTAATTAACTTTAATCTAACATTTGATTGACTAAAATGTTTTGCCTTTGACTATAATTTTAAAAATATAAAATCCTTACATGAACATATGTATTGAGAATATGTACAGTGCTTCCTATTAATGTTGATGAAACCTCTGATGATGGGAAAGACAAGCCGAGACACGTAAGGCAATTTTGTGTATTGTCAATAAACTAGTCACATTTGAAGAAATGCTTTGCATACAGATTGTGCGCAGAGTTCTTGAACCAAGGTAGAATATATTTTTAAATATTGGAGGCCATGTTTCGGAAACGCGTGTTCGTTTCTGTTTTCTTATTGTTCGTATTGTTGTTAAACCGAGATATTTTGTTTGTTGTATGTTTCGTTTCATTCCAGTCACCTGAAAGCAAATTAGATCAATTTTTGTTTGTATGGCAAACTGAAGGCGCGCATGATGAATCGAGTATACGCGGTCCGAACCGGAGTATTCATATCTATAAGCGAGTACACTCGTATTTTAATAATTACTTACTTACTTACTCATGGAGCTGAGCCCTTCTTGAGGAGCCGCCAATTCTGCAGCTACTCAAGAATTTCCCAACATTTTATGGAACTCGAAGGTTCATTACTGGGTTCACAAGAGCCCTCCACTGGTCCCTATCCTGAGCCATATCAAACCAATCCACACCATCCCATTCTCTCTCTCTCTCTAAGATCCATTCTAATATTGTCCACCCACCCACGCCTCGATCTTCTCAGTAGTCTCTTTCCTTCTGGCTTTCCCACCAATATCCTATATGCATTCCTGTCTCCCCCATTAATATTCGGTTTCTTTTTTTGCAAGTTAGTCTCAGAGGGCTTTAACACGAGACTTCACAGGTTATCTGCCCCCCCCCCCAAATGAATCGCGGTTGGGGGGCCGTGGTCACAGCATAGCTGCAAGTATTCAGCCATGTGGAGACGAAATATAGCTTCTTCAGGTATTGAGAAGCGTAATAAAGACAGCTGAATTTGCTTATTTACGCTGTCTAGTGACAACAGAAGATAGATTGAAACATGTTGTAGGAAGAAATGGTTGTTACGTCATCAATGACTGGGAAAATACAGAGCGCTGAGATGGAGTGGCCATGACGAACGAATGGCCGAGTAAAGACTGCTTGCAGACCCAGAAGATGGACAACAACAGAATTTGGGTGATGGACATGTGCAACACACATGAAGTCAATTATGGAAGTTAACATGTTCTCATTATTGACGCTGTGGACACTAAAACTGCACTTCCATGACAGCCTAACACCAAAACGAAGACATCAAAACCATCGAGCCTTTGTGTGTGCGCAGTAGAGTTGCGCGTGCGGATGCTCAGCGAACTGCTGCGGAGTGGCATGACGCAGTTCTGTTAGTGATGTAATAGGATCGCGTTGTGATGACGTCAGACTGACCGGCTGCGTTTCACAGATGGTTGTGCCGATGTCACGTTCCGTAGCGTGCTGTCTTTGCTATAATGTAGGAAGCAATCCAGGTCCTGATATGATGATTAACCGACTTCCAATGGGACTTTGATTGTGGTTGTTACGATCAGGCAAGCGTTCGTGTGCAAGAATTGGACCAGACTGACGAAGAAAGTAACCAAACTCCTGGTGCCATTTCGGCTACGATATTTGTGTGGGGTCAATCTTATTCATGTGGGCCGTGGTTCTGCGGCTCGAGATGTGCATATTGCTCGAGCCTCTGTTGCTAGGTCAACGTGGAGGTAACTTGCGTGAGAAAAACTTGCCCCATGCCACCGCAAATCCACATGGACTATCCTCGGGTTTTAACTACTCCTCAACTAGAGTATAAGCCGGGATAGCTCAGTCGGTATAGCGACGGGCTACGGGCTGGACAGCCGGGGTTCGATTTCGTTAGGAGGCAGGGGCCCACTCAGCCTCATATTAAAGGGTACCGAGGGTTTTCTTTCCCCGCTGGTAAAGCGACCGTGGAGTGAAGCTAACCGCTGCCATCTAGTGCCGACGTCAAGAATGATGGAGCTGTAACTCTACTCCCCCACGCGTCTTCATGGCGTGGTGCTTAGTTAATTTCTTTTTGGATCCGCGGTGTGAAAATGGTTGGTATCACTGATTTCCCTACCTCACAGAAAAAAGCATCTCGTCGTCTCCAATGGATAACCCTGTACAAGAAGTACGCCTAACCGCTGTTTATTAAGAGACTAATACAAAATCCACAATTATACGTACTTTCCCTAAAGTCTAGGGCGAAATGCAGGATTTTTAAATGTGAGAGCAGGTGGTACGGAAAGTTACCACTATGCTTTAAAGGGTTAAATGACCGAATGACCTAACCCGAATTTCATTTAACAGAGAGCCGTTTCTCGCGGGGAACTACTTTCATCAGCACAAGAGGATGAAATCCAATACGTATCACAATGGCATGTGTAAGGCGGAGTAGCCTAGCCTAGAGGGGAGCCTCGTGTAATGCAGGGAGCTGTAATATCGACATCTGTGCAGACCGAAATTCCACTTTGTAATTGCAGGGCGTCAGAAGTTGCAAAGTACACGAATATGGTGTCTACGCCCTCATAATGAGACGAGGAAGGATACGAGCTTACGTGGAATAAATAAATGTACAGACATATCAATATTAAGTGAGTTGTATCGATCGGTAGGGCGCCCAATGGAGGCAGAGCTCCCAGAGCGCAGGTCGATTCGTCCGCTCTCAAGCGGAGACGCAGAACGGACGCGAAATTGTAGTGACGCCGGGAGCGAGCGCGAGGAGCCTCTGTCACCATGTTCCTCACCCGAACGTAACGCAGGTACATGTCTTTCTTAACACGGTTACAAGTGGCGGTAGTGTGTATCTGTGTGTGTGTGTGTGTGTGTGTTAGCGTGGACACTGATGCTGGCTGACTGCAGAGAGTCAACCGGTATATTAGGACATGATTCCGTTCATTTCAGTTCCACCTTTCCGCCTCCTGGGGGCTTCCGTGTACTCATTTTCTGAGAGGTTCCTCATATAGTTTGTGTATCTATTGTTTCATCGCTTTGTTCAACGTGGCATCCTAAAAAAAGGTAAACTATCCCTGTAACAGGCCGTGGAGGCCAATAGGGTAATGAGACATCGAGGCTCCCACATTTTGTAGACAATCGACTCATAGATGGTGGTGAGGTTGTCAGCCTTACGCGCCGACCGTCCTATATCCCCAAGAAGATTCCTGGTACTTATTTCTCTTAGAGGCTAAGTCGACCCCAGAGCCATGGTGTGGCTAGAAGGTTTAGGTCAGTTGAAAACCCCAGTGACCTCATCGGGAATCGAACCCGCGACCCACCGGCTTGTAGCATAGTGCCTCAACTAACTACGTTACCGCGTGCCCCAACGTAGCATCCTAGTATTTCTTTCTCTCAAGAATACTATGAAGCTGGTATAGCGACAGGCTACGGACTGGACGTTGAGGAGTCTGGTTTCGATTCCAGGCTTTGGGGACGATCCAGACTGCAATCCAGCGGGTACCGCGGACTGGTTGACCGGAGGTAAAACAGCTTGGACGTGAAACTGACCCCTCGCCTCCATGTAGTGCCGAGGTTAAGAACGCGTGGAGCTATACCTCCACATCTATACTTCTTTATGGCATGCACTTAATTAAATAATTAATCCTGACAATGCTAGACGAAGTTCCGAAGTAGGCTGTCGGCTGGACACCACTTTTTCATATTCTTCAGGTCCAGACTTCAAACCCAGACCAAAGTCTGAATATCGGACAGGTTTTATATTGATATTTTCAGTGGGTGCAGGCAAATACCAAGGTACTGACCCAGATTGGGTGCTTCCTCCACGCCCTTCTCAATTCGTTAGTCTCGATCCCTCATATCATTTAACGTTATGCGTCGCTAAATGAACTGCGAATAAATAAATAAAATTACTGAAACTGTGTGAAGAAGTGGATTGGATTCGTCTGGCTCAGGATCGAGTAGTGGACTCTTGTGAACATGTTAGTGTGTCTTTCGGTTGTATAAAAGGTAGAGATTTTCTGACTCTATAAGTGGCTGTTAGAGTCTCAAGAAGGACCCTGCCCCGTGGAGTTGGTTCGTGCATGAATTCGTTTCTTCTGAGGGTCTGGCGTCCTCACTACATGCCATGAGCTGGCCATGTGGACATGCGGCCCGGCGTAGCTGCGCTATGAATAGCGGGCACTCAGCTATCGAAATAGTAGTGTACTCCACCTGCCACGCTCCGATGGTGGAGTAGTTGCCTGTCCACCAGGCGCGTCGGCCCTCCGTCTGCAGAGAATACAGTGAAATTTTGCGGAACCGACAAAATAGTATTAATTTAAACATGATCAACGCTCTTATGTGTATGATTTGAGGTTTCCATAGCAGTGGTTATGAAGGAATATGTTTTCTTTAGGATATATGCCAAGCAAGAAAACAGCATGACGTGGATAGCAAGCACAGCCCTGCTTATTCTTCGACCCTGAAGATGGAGGCGACATGTTATTCCGTAACGTCGGTTTATCACAGATGATATAACTTCTCAGCCCTCTTAAACTTCGTCATCTGTCTTAACTTGTGTCCTCGTCTTCTAATATTTGATACTGTTGTTCTGAACTATCTTAACCATTCTATGTTGGTGATGCAAGAAATGCCTAATGTTTGTGACCGATATGTACAAATGAATACCTTTCTGACCTTTACCCCTAGTAGCACCTGTACCCTTTCTGTCCCTTCGATAGACAATAGAATTGTCGCGATCAGGTGCAGCGTACCAGTAACCTTATACAGTAAAACTTGTCTTAAACGGAATCTCAAGGGTCCAGAATATTTTTCTGCTGAAGTCAGGTTTCCATTTAATCAAGGTATACTATAATATTTAAACCAGGACGTGCACGTATTTGAGACAAAAAGAAAAACAATTCTCATTAATTTATTCACATTATAATCATCGAATCATTCCGTTTAAGACAAATTCCGGCTAATAAAGGGTCCTTTTAAGGCAGGTTTTACTGTATTTGGAATGTCTTTTGGAGCTTTGGCTCACCGCACTGTTCTTCAGATCAGTTCTTATCCTTCTGTCTCTCTAAGGAAGGCTGTTTCGGATTTTCCTACTAAAGTCTAGTCCTGTATCGGCTCTTGTACTCCGGTGACGTCACGCCGTTCGGTGCGGTCCTCTCGATCCGGAAGCTTGCCAGGGATGTCGCCCTGTGAATATTGCAGGCACCGGGCCAATAGCATGTGCTCGCTAGGGACACGAAATGTGGATCCGTGAGTTGGTAGAGCACCCCGCTTGTGGAGAAAGTGGCTTTCTCTTTCTCCTGACCGACGTCACGGCGAGGCTACCCGTATGCTCCCGAACACGCTCACGTGTGTGGGTCAGTTCTGTTGTGATAAGATTACCTTACCCGTGATTCAACTTACGGCAGGGGTACCCAGACTACTCTGGTGCCAAAAAATCCTGCCGCCCTGAAACGCCCATTCGTCTTGTAATATTAAAGTTAAAAACACATGGAGATTTAAAATTACTCTCTCACACGTCCTCGTGGCGTGGTGCCTAGCTGCATGAACATTTTTAACTTTCATTTGAATGGCACTGAAAGACGCTGTACAGTAGTTAGTGTTCCTGACTCCGTATTGGGAAGGTCTGGGTTCAAATTTCGGGCCAGATATGGGCCAAACTGACTGAGATTTGACATGGTGTCCTTCAGCCCCTTCAGATAAGTGCGTCTAATGAGGCCGCGCTGCTTCTTTCTGAATCATTTCCAATTCGTGGTTCATAAATCATGCTGTCATTCGACGCTGTTGAGTCCCAGATCCTGACAGCAGTTTTAAATTAACCAAGAAAGAATAGATACAAATTACCTGCATGATCATAAACAAACCTACTTTCTTTTAATTTTGTACATGTTGGGGTCTTACATGCTCGCGGCTACTGACTCCGGCGATCAGATATGTCGGTAGGAATGTCTGTTGTTCCCAAAGTTAGAGGTCTTAAAGACGGTAAGTGTGAAGACTGTTATGTAGGATTTGCAATGGGACAACGATGCTCCTCTGACGTATTTGTAACGATTTGCCAGGATAAATGGAGTCACTTCCAAGGAGACGGTAATCTTCCTTGGAATTCATTCCATGCTGCACGGCTGTTATCTCGGGAAAACTTCACTACGTACATCTGTTTGTAACTTAATTTCGAACATGGCCATGGTGCGAAACACTAAGTCACATCTGATACGTTTGTCTAATTCAGAATCTGTAATATCTGAAGAGTACTGTGTTCTGCATGCGACACCGTGTAGTCTGGTAGGTGGTTATAGGCGTTTCGGATTAACATCCTTTCCCAGAAGATATATTTCTTCACCCTGCTCTCTGTGAGACTGTAGAACCTCACCTGTACTCATTGAAACTAAGCACGTGAATGGATCACTGAATTTTCCTCACTCACTCACACACACACACACACACGCGCGCGCGCGCGATGAAAGCTCTGGAGTGAAACAGTATCGAGTTACCATAGAAACGAAATGATGAGCATTAACTCATGGTATGAATGTAAGTAGTATGTCATGAAAGAGAGGATAGTCTTTCGTTTCGGTGTATCGTGACTATTCCGTTATTATGGATAATATTTTGATGTTCAGTATGTGAAGCAAAGCGTACACTGTAAAGTAGACACTTCTAAATGTTCCCTGTTTGTGCTTGCTATTCGTGGGGGATGGTGTTAAATGACCGGAAGAGAAAGTTAATGGTAGGAAAGTTTATATACCAAACGATGAAATTTGCCATTTATTTCTGAACTTTTTTTTCTTTGACTCTACAGCCCGAATTTGGGCCTTGGCCTACCTCCATGAAACTCTTCGTTTCACTTCGGTTTACTAGATATTAGACATTCGGTAGGACTCCTTGGGCGGGTGATCAGCTCGTCGCAAGGCCTCTACCTGCACACAAAACAGAAAAACGCACAAAACAAAAAAAAAGCAAGACAAACTCCGTGACCTGTAGTCCGCAAGAGAACTATACCGACCGAGCGACCGCCTCTTATCGGCGAAGTCAGTGCCAACTTTTGCAGATAGAGCGTGTCACGTGGTCAGCGCAACGGATCCCCAAGGCCGTTATCGGGTTTCTAGACCGGAGCCACTATTTCCTTCAAATAATTCCTCAGTTATCCTCATGAGGCTGAGTAAACCCCGTTCCAGACCCACTTTTTCTCAGAAAATCTGGTAGAGCCGGAATTGAACCCTTGACTTCTGGATCTGCAGCCAGAAACTCTGACGACTAGACCACAGAACGAACATACAAAAACACTAAACATCCATGCCCTCAGTGGGATTCGAACCCACGATCGCGGCTTCCGAACGAGCGAAGGCAGTGCATACCTTAGACCGCTCGGCTACCGTGACCGGCCTTGAACGGGTGTTACACTAATGAAATTGCTAATTAGCATAATTGGTTGCATTATGCGGTTATAACACACAATATTGAACAAATATAAAGTATAAGCTTCAAGTAACTCCTGTAGATAAACGTTTTTCATGCAAATGACGATCACTGACGACAGAGACTTGTTGGGAGATACACTTCCCAGCAGAATTAGTACGAGTACTACAAGAAGCTAGTTGCCCGCGCCATAGCTCAAGCGGTTAGTCGCTGGCTTCCCACAGCGACCGCCCGGGTTCTATCCCGGTTCTGGTCAGGTGGGATTTGTGGTGGACAGAGTGGCGCTGGGGCGGGTTTTCTCCGAGTACTTTGGTTTTCCCTGCCAAACTTCATTCCACCAATAGCTCCACAATCACCCTCACCTATGATCTGGGGCTGGTACAATGGGCCA